TTAAAAAATGCCATGACAATATTGTTTTCAAATATAAAAATTTCACCGTCACTAAAATGCAAATTGAATTTATTAAATATATCGTTTGATAGTTTAAAAATTGCGTAAGAAAAATATATATCCGGCTAATTAAAAAACACACTTGTCGCGTGACCCTAAGGTCGTCCTTTTTCTTGAATTTCTTGATTTGACTTGCATCGAAAAGTAAAAGTTGGTTTTAGACTTCAATGAAAAAAAAAAGAAATGATAATAATAAATAATATGTTCATTTCCATAAAGGTAAAGCAAATATTATTTTCTTCTCACGAGAAATTTATTTCGTTTTTTTTTTTGGAAAGAAGAAAAATATTGAATGTTGGGGGAATTTTTCGAAAATTGCAACTATATAAATAGTTTTTAATATAATGCTATTATATGAACCGGATTGTCAACAACGAATTAAAACTATCTGCATCGTGAATGTTGTTCACCTTGTAAAACCTATGTCGAAGCTCTTTTGAAAAAACAAAAGTTGTACAAAAAATTTGTAAACAGGCGAAGTCGAAGGATTTTGTATTTTTTTTTTTTTAAATTGCTTGTCACAGAATAAGTTTTTATGCATTTTTTTAGAGGAAGGTTTTTAGTTTTATTTGCGTGAAAAAAATTGACAATGAGGAATTTCGATAAAGATGAATGTAAATTGTAATAAAAAATAATTTGCATTTTGTTTTTTTTGAGCGAAAAATACTTCAAAGTTTGTACTTTCTGCGAATTTTCGTTTTTTCCTCTCGTATCGAATTTCGATACTTGAAATGGAAATTAAAACAAAAATTGAAAAAAAACTAATAGTTACAGAATTCTAAAGAAGAAAAATTGTTTTTAACAAACTTTTTTGTTAAAAACCCGCTAATAAAAATTGAAAGAGAATATTTTTTAATTAAAAAAAAATAGTTGAGTTAAAACAACGAGTGAATTAGAATTTTTCATAAAATAGAAGTACATTTTTTTCTATTAATTTTGGCTTTTTTTCTGCCTCTAAATTATGTTTCTCTCGAAAATATTTTCAATGGATTTAGAAGCAGAAAATATTTTGATATCGAACAAAAAATATAGCGGGAAAATAATTAGAGAAAATTTGAAAGAAAAAAATATTTCTTACCGACTGCTAGTTGTGTGAAGGAATAGTAGTGAAGTCTCCTCGAGTTTCTTTAACAATCGCTAGGAGGAAGCACTTTCAGGGACCTTTCTTTTATTCAAAACACGATTTTTGCATAATAATAATTCCAAGAGTCAAGAATTTATAACTATAATGTCTATAATATAACATTTTATAGTCGTTTTGAATGATAAAACATGTTCTGTATAAAAAAGGACTTTCAAAAAATATATTTTTTTTTTTAAAGTGCAAATGTTGTTTTGCAAAATAAAAAGAAATTATTATTTTACTATGCATGCTATCACTGAATATGTATAAAATTGATCATCAAACTAAAAACTTACATCATTTTTACATAAGTAGACCTCTAATCTTTGGCTGTTGTTTGTATTTTTTTTTTCATTACGTATATTTTGGTGGTCTATGTGTGCCGTAAATTTTTTTTTATTACAATCTCTTATGCAAAAATGAAAAATAAAATACACATAAGATTGATTTTTAATATGAAGAAAAATGTTGGGAATGTGTTGAACTGTCAAAGATCGTGGCATGAAAAAATTATTTTTACTACATTTGAATTATGACTGTCATATATTTTATCATGCAATTTTTTGTCGTTAAGTATCTATGAAATAATTATTACTTTACAAAATGTCAAATACTTTCTGAATTCGGAAAGTTCATCAGCAATGAACGACTAGGTTTTTTTTTTATTATACTGTCGTTAATTTATAAATATTTGAGTGTTTTTACTTTCTCCTGAACTTATTAATTTGCAAAAATATTTTAGTCTTAGTTTATTTTTAATTTCAGTCTAATTTTTTTATTTTAACTTTTTATTTTATTTTAATTTTAATGTAATTTCAGTTCGAATCAACTTTTTATTTCAATTTCTATTTAATTTTAATTTATTTTCAGTTTTAATCTACTTTTAATTTTTTATTGAACTTAAAATGAATTTCAGTTTTAAGCTACTTTTAGTTTATTATTTTTTATATATTTTTGCTTGATTATTTTTAATTTAATTTCAGTTTTAATCTACTTTTAATTTTTTATTGAACCTGAATTGAATTTGAGTTTTAATTTAGTTAAAAGTTTTATTAAAAGACCTTAAATGTTTAAATTTAAAATTAATTGTAGGAATCCAAACAGAATTTTTTTTTTTAAATAAATAAATATTTATTGTTTAAATTAAAATAAATGACAAGTGACGAATTAAAAATAAACAAAATAGATTTAAGACACGTGGAGAATAATCAGAAATTGATAAAAGTGAAAGTTCGTCAACGTAATTTATATGCAAAATTTAGTTAAAATTTAGATGTTTTGCAAAATTGTGTTTTTTTTGCATAATCTCCCAAGATTTAATCGTTTCTTTTAAATAAACAAGATAAATAAATTAAAATTAAAGAATAAATTACTCTCTGACACATACAATCAAATAATATTGTTTATTGGATATAAGAAAATATTTTTTGTTATTAAGAATATTTTTAACAATTTTTTTTATTCTGCTTAAGAATATTAAATATTTATCTTCAAATTGGCACTAAAATAATATTTTTCCACAGTCAAATTTTGAGTAACAAAATTTCTTGATTAATGAAATTTTTTATAGTTTAACACTTCATTTATTTGCCTATTAAGTCATTATTAATTTATTAATAATTTATTATTAACTTACTATTAATTTCGTTTATTAACTATTCAATTAATATATTTATTTTTCACTTATTTTTTGTTTTCCTAGAAGAAAATAAAGAAATTCAAATTTAATGTATTATTTATGTATAATTAATTTATTCTCGAATTTATTATTAATTTATTTTCTTATATTATCAATTTTCTCAAAGCAAAGAAAGTGAAAAAATGAAAATTTACGATAAAAATGAAATAAAATTTTATGATTTAGGAATTTTCAAACAAAATAATAGATAATCGTCAAAAGAAAGCAATTTTAATTGTAAATTTAGAAAAAAAGCAAACGTTTAAAAGTGAAAATAATTGAAAAAGATGTTTTTTAAATTTTTTATTTAATGTCCAATAAATTCTTTTGTAATCTTTGAATACATTTTAATAAAACAAGCGGCGGGATATTATGTACTTGAATTACATAAAATTCTACATTATAAATGTCAACTTTTGAATAGGAGACGAATAAATTTATTTTACAGAAAACTATTAATTAAATGTATTAATCAATTTAAAGTGAAAGACGATTACAGTAATGAACTTTAGTCACAATAACGATTATTTAATGCAACTTTTTTCTTTTTTGTAATTCCATAAAGAAATATTTCTAGAAATTAGAAAGTTGTCGTCACTGAATCTTCCCACATATTTTTTATTTACACCTCTTGACAAAAAATTATGTTTTTTTTATATTGTGAAGGTACTTATTTAAATTTATTGTATAACATTTTGGGTGTCTATATTTCTGCAATATTGTACTTTATATTTTATTGTACAATATTCATAATTATGAAAAATCTAAAATTTAAATTTGAGTTTGAATTTCATTATATTTTAATTTATATTTTTATTATTGTAATAATATTATCATGATAATATTATATTAGATAATATTATTTTAATAAAATGAATGTTTTTATATTTTTGACACAAGTTGGACAAGCTTTGTTGAATTCGAATTTATTAAATTTTAATTTTATTGTCTAATTTTATTTTCTAATTTTTTATTCAGTAATTTTATTTTTTAACTTTACTATTTTAATTTTATGTTTTAATTTTATTTTCTACTTTCATTTTACAATTATATTTTCCAAATTTTATTTTAATTGAAATTAAATAAATTTTTTGTAAATAAAAATATTTATATTCTTCTCTTTACGTAAAATAAAGACGTAAAGTTCATTCGCCTACGTGTTTCCATTGTACTTATATATATATCGCGAGGGTGTTGAAAACGTCCTTGCATTGTTTCTCATTACCCAAGCAATATTAATTTTCATTCCTTTGATTCATTCTCTCGTGAATTGTGCATTGTTGATCTAATTGAAGATCAAGATCAAGGACACGCTTTATTCCCTTCGGTGTGAATCATAAAAAGACAACAATCATCAAAACATTTTTTTCACTGATCCAGTAACATTTTTTTGTTACCGAATTAAAATAATCAATTTAAGTAAATCAAGTAAATTAACCAAACATTTTTCACTAATGCAGTAAAATTTTTTTTTATCATTTAATTAAAATAATTAAATCAATTTACAAATTAATAATTTAATTAATTAATTAACAATTCAATAAATTTAAATTACGTAAATTCTGTTTTCAATTTTTTTAGTCAGTAAAAAATGTTTATTGCCAAAAATATTAATTGTTTAGTAAATATTTCTCTGGGCGGGCACGACAATTTTTATTTTTACTGTTCAGACTTTTTTTGTAGACAAATATTTGTGAGATAACAAAGTGAAAATTAAATTAATGTCTCGTTGAAGTCATAGAAAATTGATAGGATATAAAAATACTTTCATAATATCCACTTTTTTTCTTTTTTGAAAAAAAGAAGAATTTGGAATAATTATTATGTAATATCTTAAATATTGTTTCCTTAAAGACAATGCTCATTTTAACATACGTCTCATATACGTTTGTAAAATTACTATTCGATAAAGACACTGATTATAATCGTTGACATGAAAGAAATTACAGTACTGAATGTATATTTCCCTTTTTATTTTTGCGAAATAGCCATATAGATTGTTACGGTCGATGGAAAGCATAACATTCCTAATGATGTCCCTCTGTAACGACGGAAGTGAAAAAAAAAGAATGCGACTCGTCAAATTGATATTTGACTCGTCAAATAGCAACTAAAGTGCATACTTTCACAGAACAATAATCAGGAAAAGAAATAAAGCCCTTGATTATCCACAAGTTATAAAGCGATCAATCCGTGAATTCTTGCTCATTTCGATTTCAGTCGTGCATCTTTCGATTCATACCACAAGAAAATTGCCCTTTCCTCCCCGGAAATCTTTTTCTCAAAAAGTTAATGGCAAGATTCTATTACGGAAGTTAAAGATTTGTTACGAAAATTGGAGTAAATTTTTTGCTTATGTACATTGAAATTGAGTATATCGGATGGGGAATCATGTAAGAATATAAGATTGCACCTCTCATGTGTGGTAATTCCTCTGGTATTACCGATGCGTCATTATGCATCCGGGTGGTTAAAAGTAAAAGTGGAAAAATTTTTGTGTAAGTGATTGGATGTGAAATGTGGTGTTTAATTGGAGATTCAATGAAAATGACTGGATTCTTTATTAATTTTCTGATAATTTTGAGCTTTCTTAGCTTTGTTCAATCATTACCGGCTACTAGTTTTGTGGTACCAGATTATCCACGACAACTTTCTCTATTCACGCGTAATGAACAAACTAAGGACGAGTTGTCAAACGTGAAAACGAACAAGGATGACCTCGCAAATTGGGCGAGTTACGCTGTCAGAGTTATGGCCGCTAAGCTCAATAACACAATTTCAACTATTAAGGACAAAGTGAAGAAATCTATTTCAAACGATCAGGACGAGAAGATAGATGTTTTTTTCAACTCCGGGAATTTTGTCAACAGAACAAAGAGTAAAAATTTGGATAATTTCAAGAGGTACACTGCCCAGAATCGTGGATTGAACAAAACGGAAAATTCCCAGAAGAAAGTGGGGGGAAATACGACTATGAGTGTTAATATTACTGGAGAAAATTTAAAAATTAACACCACTGGTAATGTTGCAAAAATGAATAAGACTGGTGTATCTGTTGTAGGAGCTATTCCTTCGAATAGTTCCGAACTTTTAAGGAATGGAACAATTTCGGATGAGAAAATGAAATCGTTGAAGATTGTACAGGCTGAACGAAGACACTATCAGTTGCATTCTATTGGCGATCCGAATGTAAATGGAGCTCATTTTTCCCTTGCTGATGAACCAAGAAATTACCAGCCGGTTGTTAATTATCTTTCACATCTGTTGGGTAACACTCACTACGATCTGACTGGAAACAAAATTCTCATTCGTACTCCAGATTATTTTGCTGCGGCACCTACTCCCGCTGCCTATATTCCAGTACTTGTGCAGCATCCAGGATACAATGACTATCAGGATAAAGTTGTGAAAAATCAGTTTGGAGGTGATGACAGCAAAAAAGGTAACGAACTGTCGGCACTGAAATTGGCAGAACCTACGAAAAATCCAGTATCTGTTTCCGTAATGACTGAACCTTCTGTATCATCTGTAACTTCTGTTCCTTCTTCACCTACTGTATCTTCTGCACCTTCTGTTTCTTCTGAACCTTCAGTACCTTCTGTACCTTCTGTATCATCTGTAGATTCTGTAGCTGCTGTTCCTTCTTCACCTGTTTCTCCTTTACTTTCTGTTTCTTCTTTACCTTCTGTATCATCTGTTTCTTCTGGACCTTCTACATCATCTGTAGCTTCTGTTTCTTCTTTACCTTCTGTATCTTCTATACCTTCAGTATCTTCTGTACCTTCTGTATCATCTCTACCAACAGTATCCTACATACCTACTGTTTCTTACGTTTCTTCTGTTCCAAAAGTTTCTTTTGCTCCTTCTGTTTCTTTTGCACCTTCTGTATCTTCTGTTCCTACTGTTTCTTTTACTCCTTCTTTACATTCTGTAGCTGTACATTCTTTACCTGCTGTAACTTCTGTACCAACTTTACCAACTTTACCTTCTGCAACTTCTGTACCATCTTTACCTTCTGCAACTTCTGTACCATCTCTACCTTCTGCAGTTTCAGTACCATCTTTACCTTCTGTAGTTTCAGTACCATCTTTACCTTCCGTAGTTTCTGTGCCTTCTGTAAATTCTGTACCTTCTATTTCTTCTATACCGTCTGTTTCTTCTGTAGCTCCTGTTTCTTCTGTAGCTTCTGTTTCTTCTGTACCTCCCACTACTTCAACTTCTTCGCCGAAGTCAGATGTTGAGTACGTGACAAAACCGATAAAATTAATAGACGCCAACTCCAGAGATGGTGTTAGAGCATCGGAAGGAATCAGACCAATTATATCCGTACCATTCGAGGCTATAATTACAATAACAAGAGATCATAATCATCATCATCAATATTCGTCAACGCCACAAAAAATTGAGTTGATAACTCCATTAACCCCCACAGCATCATCTCTACCAATTACTTCACCAATTTCTCTAAATCAGAATTTAAGAAATTATTACGAAATCGTAACTAGAGATCCACCAGATATTTTCCCTCCTTACTTTAATACAAACAATACTTCTCCAGAGGGAATGACTCAAAATGTCATTAATGACAAGGATGGAAAAAATTATGACGACAAAAATCAGTTTAAGCAAGAGAAGAAGAAAGACTGTGATAATAATAATAACAACAATAATAATAACAACAACAACAACAATAACAATAATAATAATAGTAATAACATTATCAATAATAATAATAATAATAGAAATAAAGTCAATAGTCAGAATAAAATTAAGAATAACATTAATGATAACAATATATCGAATGAATCGAGTACGGTGAATGTTGTATCTGAAAATGAAATACCAAAGAAGGAGAAGAAAAAAATTGTCAATAATAGCGATAGTTTTAAACAGAATAAATTTTTGGATGATGATTTCAATGATGATGATTTTGACAATTTTGATAATTTTGATGATGATGATTTTGATTTTGAGAATTCAAAGAAGAAGGATAAATCGAAAAAAAGACAGACATCGGTTTTTAAGCAACTTCTACAAATTTTAGGCTTTTCGAAAAAGAAAAGTCGTGAAAATAATACAGTTGATATTCAAATATCGACTACTCCGGTTTTTAAAGTCTTCACTGCAAACCGACTTCCTGGAGCAAAATTCGAAAATGTAGGTGTCTTATACATAATTTTGAATTAAAAATTTTAAGATAATAAAAAAATTTTTATATTTTAAATAATAAACTTTCGGATTTTTGTGCTAGACACCATCAAATCGCGGTCGAAGAAATCAAACTGCAATTAATAATGATGTGCCAGATAATCCAAATCCAGAGGAAAATGAAGTTATTCCGTCAGTTGATGACAAGCAAAAGAAGAGTAATGATACTTCAGAGAAACAAGAATTTGACGATGATGATGAAGTAATACTTTACTGGTTTATTTACCAAATAAAAAAAACTAAATATTTTACAATTTATGCTTTATTATTTATTTTAAAAAAAATCTAACTTTTATTTACAGGAAGAAGGATCTTTAGGTTCGATTACAGATCTTCTGCCATTGGTTATACCTGTTCTTGAGGATTTGAGTGATGTAAGAAAACTATCTATACTCTAAAAAAATATTTCAATCTACAACTATTTCCTATTATTATAAAATAAAATTATACAAATTTTACAAAATTTTTTATTTTTAATTTCTATGGTAATTATTATTTTTCTTGTAAATTTCATTCTACTTTTAGCCAGAGTCAGATACAGATTTAGCGGAATTATTGGAAGGTGCAATACCATTGCTTCAAGGACTATCAGAAGTAATTAAAATAAAAATAACTTTTTTCTCATAATAAATATTTGCAAAATTTTTTATTATGTGGATTATAAGGAGAAAGGTGATAATTTGATGAAAAAGTGTTTTTAATTTTCAGGGTGAAAATGATGATGGTACGCCAATTGATGTCACAGCGACAATTTCACCTGTTATTCAAGCCATAAGTGCTGTATGTAAATTACTTTTTCAAAAATAAAATTACATAATTATTTTCTCCTTTTAAATTTAATTGTTTAAATTTTTTACTCCCTCATAGAGGAACTATTTGAATTTTTAATTAATTTACTTAATTATATTTAATTATTTTTAATCATTTTACCAGAATATTAATGTTTTTTAATTCTCTAGTAACGAATAAATTATTATTTATTTTATTGTATTAGGGAAATTTTTCTCTTGTCCTGAAAAGTTTTTCCAGCTTTTTAGTTCTTTTTTTACTTTTTTTTATTAATTTAATATTATTATTTTTTTTATTAAATTAAAAATATTTTTAGAGAATTCTGAATTTTTTTAAAGTTGATTTTTGTAGAGGGGTTTTTTATTTATCTCTTTATTTTTAGGGTAAAGGGGGAGGGGACAGTGACAGTGGAGCGATTTTAACACCAATTATAACAATCGCAGCACCATTTATTGGGCCCATTTTGGGTCCATTAATTGGACCACTATTAAGATCAAGCAGCAATGTGAGTTACTTCGTTTCGCTTTATTCAAGGATCTAAATAAACTTTTTGGAAAATTGTTTCCTAAAATTTTAATCTTTAGTGTTTTTGATTTTTTATTTTTATACAATTTTAAAATTTAATATTCATTGAATTGCATTTTTTCCAATTATACTTTATAATTAAAATTTTACTATTTAATAAATTGCCATTTCATTATTTTTATAATTAATTAATTTACATAATTAATTAATTAAAATTTTATGATTCGAAAATTTAATTTTAAAAAAATTTTCAGCCTCATAGTGAAGGATCTTCGGTGACTGCTTTTATTCAATCAATTTCTGCTCCACTCAGTAAGGTATGTTAAAATTAATTGTAATTATTAATTAATTGCTAATAATTTAATTTTCCTTGATAATAAAAAAAAATTTATTAATTTTTACAGCCAACAGAACCCGGTGGTATGTCACCTCTCTCACAGCTCGTTGCTGGAATTGTTGCTGGCTTAAGCAGAGTATGTGCAATATTGTAAAATTATAATTAATTTTAGGAAAAAATTTTCAATTTTCTGAAACTCCGACGACACTGACAAAAAAATTATTTATATGGAATTCTTTTTTTTTAAAAAAGTTTATAAATTTAATTTTCTAGGAATCGAGTACAGGAGGTGCAGGTTCGGATATTGGGGCTTTGATTTCGTCTGTTGTTTCCGGTACATTGGCTGGTACCAGTGCAGGACTTAGTGGAGGGTCAAGTAAAGGGTCAGGTCATTCACCAGCGCCACCTAAACCCGATTCTTATGGTGCTTACGCACACTATGGTCCAGTAAGTGTCCAGCATCCAGAAAAAGTCAGATTTTTTTTTGAATTTTGCTTTTATTTTTTTAGGTTTAAAAATTTAATTTTTTTTTTGGATTTTAGTATTTTATATACTTGCACATTTTTTATACTTACGTATTTTTTATGTTTAAATATATTTAAGGTTACATATTTTTTTCTATTTTTTATGTTTTTCAAATAAAAGTAGAATTTAGAACAAATACATTTTTTTCTTGTCAATAAAACTTTTACTTGAGAAAAAGAAATTTTTTTCTTTTTAATAAAAATTTTACTGGATAGAAATAAATTTTTTTCTTCGCAATAAAAATTTTATTTCACGCAAATAAATTTATTTTGATGGTAATAAAAATTTTGTTTGACACAAATAAATTTTTTGTGGTGAAAATAAAAATTTTATTTGACACAGATAAATTTTTTATTTTATTGAAATATTTTGTGTAAGTTTGTAGGAAGATAATTTTTGTTTTTTTAGTTTTAGTTTTTATTTTTTTAATTTTCTTGCTTGGAGGAAAAGAATTTTGGAAAATTTTTACAGGCCACTGTGCCGGCGAGTTCGGTGAATACTTTGCAACTACTTGGCAGTACGCTGAAGGATATTTTCGGTGCTAGTGGGACAATAGTTACATCACTTCTCGGTGGTGCGTCGGGACTTCTTGGAGCATCGTCTGCGGGCTCTTCTGCTGAAGAACCGCAACCCGCTTATGGACCACCGCCAGCCTATGGTCCACCAAATTATAAACCCCCGCCCCTCATTAATCCTCCCGCTGGTCTTAAACCTCCTCCCCTACCAGTTAAAACTCCAACTAAACCCTCGAAGAATAATTATAATCGACCACAATAAATTAAGTCTTAAAAAATGAAAATTATTTCGCTTACTTTTTTCCAAAACATTTATTGCAATTACTATTTCTTATTTTTTTCTTCTTCTTCTTAGATGACTTTTGGCTATGCCGACTGTCAAATCATAATATTTTTTTTATTTTTTTTTTACTTTGTTCCATCAATTTTAATCTGTCAATTTAATTATCTTCAAAAATTTTTTAAAAATTCTTGTCAAATTTTCAATTATCTTTAAAAATAATAAAATTCTTTTCCAAAATTCAATTATTTTCATAAAATTTAATAAAATTATTGGCAAAATTTAAATCATTTTCACAAATTTCCCTCATTTCAATTATTTTTAATATTTACTGTTTTAATAAAATTTTCCAAAGAAATTCAATTATTTAAGCAAAATTAAAAAAAAAAATTTCCAAAAGAATTCAATTATTTAAACAAAATTCTAATAAAAATTACACAGAAATTCAATTATTTACTAATTTTATATAAACTTCTTCGCACCAATTCAATTATTTTTAATTTTTTAATAAAGTTTCTCGAAAAAAATTCAATTATATTTAGAGAATTAAAAAAAGATAGTTCTGAAAAATCCAATTATTTTGAAAAATTTTAATAAAATTCTGTTAAAAATTCTTTACAAGATTTAGTTAATAAAATTACAATTTTAATAAAATTTCCCTATACAATTCAATTATTTTCAATACAATTCTTCTTAAGAATTCAATTATTTATACAAATAATAATACATTTTTTTATGGGAATTCAATTATTTAAAAAAATTTTGAATAACATTTTTAGCAAGAAATCAATTATTTTCGCATAAATAATAATATTTTTCTCATGAATTCAATTATTTTCACAAATAAAATTCTTCACAGGAATTTAATTCTTTAAAACAATTTTTAATAAAATTTTTTGCAAGAATTCAATTATTTTTCATAAATAACAAAACTTATCGCAGAATTTCAATTATTTTTTATACAATTTCAATTAAAATGATAGAAAATTGCATTTATTCTTAAATTTTTTTTTAAATTTTCTGAAAGAATTAATTTATTTTTAAAAATTTTGATAAAATTCTTCATAAAAATTCAATTTTAAGAAATATTTAATTATTTAATAAATTAGTAAATTTTGTATTTAAAATTAATATAATTCAATTCTCAAAAAATTACCTAATAAAAATTGATTAAAAAATGAATTTTACTTAAAATTTCTTTTAGTTTTTTTTGTATAGGGTAAGTGCGGGTATAGTCGGACAGTACTAGTAGTCGGACACTTTCATGTTTTTTGGCAAATAAATAATAATGCATTGTGATATTTACTTAAAAAAATATACTGGACGAATGTGTAAAGTTTATATTTTATGAAATTAGTGTTATTTTACAAAATAATTAAACAATAAATATTTTATTTAATATTTTAAAAATCGTGGTGTCCGACTATAGATACAACCATTTTCGAGTAGCGCAATGAGTAGCACAAAGTTTTGCTGATAATTAATCATAAATTTTAAAACTTATACGATTTAAATATTATATTAATAACTTCTAGTATGGTTTAATTCCATTTTCCAGCCGATATCAATTAAAAAATTATCTGTTTTACTTTATAAATCCAAAATATCTGACAGATGTCCGACTATAGAAACAAGGGGAGAAAGTGTCCGACTACTAAAGCATTCGTAATTTTTCATTAAAATGTTTATATTTTATTAAATACTCAAGTATTTGTAACAAATTTACATGATTTTTAATCCTGAAGAACTCATTTAATTGATAATGTGCTTATAAACACAGTAGATATTTGCTATTTCAAGAAAAAAAGCATAATATAAGATCGTATCCTTAAGTGTCCGACTACTAGTGCATTTACCCTATTTGTATTTTATTCCTTTTTTTATCGGATTCTTTTTTTATTTTATTTTTTTTTCAATTCTCTGAATATATTTGAATTCTTTCGAGAAACTTGATTAAAAAATTAAAAATAATTAAATTGGTGTTAATAAATTTATAAAAAATTTGCAAATAATTAAATTTCTGTGAAATTTTTATTAAAATTTTGTTTAAAGGTTTGGATTTTTTGGAAAATTTTATTAAAATAATTGAAATGAAGAAAATTTTTGAAAATAATTGAAATTTTGCCAAGAATTTTATTAAAAAAAATTTAATTATTAAATTTATTTATTTTTTATTAAATTTAGTTTGTCAGAATTTGTTTAATTGAAATATTTTGTATAAAATTATACAAGATGAGTTCTGTTTGTTCGAAAGAAAGACATTTTTAAATATTTTTATCAGCGAGTTTTTTATTTTATTTGAATATTTTTTTATTCAACTAAATTTATTTATTTATTATTAAGTTTAATTAATCAGTAATTTTTTAATTTAATTTCCTTCCTTGAATTTAATTAATCAGGTTTTATTTTATTGAAATATTTAAATAAGTTTTGTTTCTTTCATAGAAAACTATTTTGAAATATTTTTACAGTCTCAATGACTTTTATTTTTTATTCTCTTATTTGTTTTTTTTTCAAATTATTAAATTTAAATATTTATTATTAAATTTAATTCATCAGGATTTGCTTTATTAAAATATTTTTTGTAAGATTATTAAAGATAAGTTTCTTTTTGTTTCAAGGAAAAGTGTTTTGAAATATTTTTACAGTCCACAGTGACGGGTAATTTTTTTTCTTTCTTTATTTTAGTTTCTATTCTTTGTTTTCTAATTGATATCAATTTTGCTCTTTTAATTCTATTACGAAATGTATCTATCAATTATTGAATCCATCGACATAAAAATCTATTTATCAATTGAATTAAAAGCAAAAAATTCATGTATGAATTGAAAAAAAACAAGTTTTACTCTCACTACGGCTATAAAGCAATAATAATTAATTCGTTATCCTACTTCCTCACTATTTGAGTATATAGATAATGTCGTGAAAAGAATTTTGTCTTTACGCTTGAAAGCAATTGTATACATATATACATATAAAGAGAGGGAGAGAGAAATATATATCTACTTGCATGATACGAGAGATTATCATTGTGCCGCATAATATTCAAAGTGCATATAACTTTTTAGCGGAAATAGTGACTTTCTTCCGGCATTTGCGGTCATAGAGGGAAGTGTTGACAAAATGGCATGCATCAAAGGATAATTGATTTTTCCATTTTTTTTCTTCTTCTTCTCTTCTTTTTGTTCCGATGATATATTCTTAAATTACATAGGATACATATTATAATATTTCTTGTATGTCGTAAATCATTATGTATACACAATGTTTATAAGAGACTTCTCTGTGGATATTATGGCGAAATGACTCGAAAATAATTTATAGTTTGTTGCGATTTTATCATCTATCAAAGAAGGTGAAAATATCATCACATAGAAATCTAGAGTTCCTTTTGCCGCGTTAGAGAAAAATATTTAAATTCTTTTTTTTTTTTTTAATTTAAACTCCTCAAGTTATCTAATGTGTAATATTCGTTATTTAATTGGGAAGTAGGTATTAGATAATGGGAGCAAGATTAATTCGATGAGAAATGAATGTATGGAAAAAAGACAAACGCAAAGTTATTTTTAATAGAGAGTGAAATCTAAACCGTTTGGAAGTGTTGGCAATTTTTTTTCTTACTATTTCCGAATAGTAAATTTGAGTAAAAAATCGGTAATTATACCGAAATATTACCGAATAGTAAATTTGAGTAAAAAAATCGGTAAATATAATAAATAAAATAGAAAATTTATATCGAAAATACTAAAAATAGTACAAATTATTAGCGAAAATAGCCACCTTTTTTATAATTTTACTTTGTAAATAGAAAAAGTTACTTCACATTTTTTTTCGTGTACAGTATAATTTGGCTGCGAGGTCTAAGGCGCCGCGTCAATTTGAAATAACAGCGTAACTCGTTCGATTCCTGCCTCGAGTGGAATTTTTAATTAATTCAGTAAATAAAAGAACAGATACTTATACTAAATATTAAAAAAAATATTATAAATAAACTGAAAATTAATTTAATCTATACTTTTATAACAATTAATAATAATTAATAATATTTATTAATAATTTTTACATATTTTTTATTTTTAAATTTATGAATAGTAGACAATAGCAAAAAAATAGAGGGAATGTTAACATTAGAGAGAATTATTATTTATTGTTAAATAGTACCTTTAATTATTATTGTTGTTCGAAATTAAATTGAAAATAAATTGAAACGTTTTAATGATTATTTGTGTAAAATGAGTGATAAAGTGACTTTTCTTAATTTCACGATTAGAAGGGTGGAAAATTTAAGTTAAATCGATTTCTCAATGATTATTGCAATCTTTGTAAGATAATAATTTAGATTACATTGTATAGTTTATTAATATGTCTATCAATTATGGGGAAAAATATTTTTTGTTCACAACGACTGTAATTATATCCTTGATATCATTTATGTTCCATAATTGCGAGAATTTTTGCTGACAATATTATTATTATTCAATTATAATCGGGAAAAAAATCTACTAAAACTGAGAGCCAATGGAATTTTTTTTTCAATCAGAAAAATTAAGTATTAAAAATATTTTTTACTAATTTTGTATTAGAGAAATTGATAAACATTTGATTATCAATTTTTCTAATACAAAATTAGTCAAAAATATTTTTTCTACAGAAACTAATAAGCGAGAATTAATAATTAAATTTCATTATAGTAAATTAGGAAACAAAAATTTTTTTTTTAATCTTTCAATCTTATTCATTACTTGACTAATAAATTTTACTTTTTATTTTATTTGACTAAAAATTTTGTGACTAATTTTGCTATTTATTTATTATTTAAGTGATAAATTTTAGTAAATAATTTTTTAGACAAATAAATAATAATAATAATATTTTTTCAGGTTGAACTGACTGAATTTTAGTAGAAAACTTTATTAGTTACTTTTTACTTATCAATAATTCATTTACTATTTAACTGAATTTTATTAGGAATTTTTGTTACT